ATATATATATATATACGCAAAACGTCCTGGGAACTGGCGATGAGTCAAGACTGAATAGTTGAAACGCAAATTGCTCCCGCCCTAAAAATAACTCGCGTGAGTAATGTTGTCTTCAAACCTGACAGTTCCAGTTTCACATTTGCACAGTAGTGCTGTGCATACTGAAGCATCGCACGCCTCTTGAATCTAAGAGTAAGGTCACGGAGTCTCCTTGAGGCCCTGAACCCTTATTGACCCAAGAAACAAAGTAGTACGCCTTTTCTATGTACACCATAGCTCCAGCTGTCATTGGAAGGTAAACATTATTCGTGCACTCCTGGCCTGAATGACAACCATCCTGTTTTTCACGGATAGTGAACGTTAATTAGGTTTCTACCAGGACAGATATTCCAATTGGGGTTTTGCCGCTTCTTGTGAAGAGGGGCGACGGTGGGCGTTCCACGAAGCAGCATTTCTCCAATGTTCAAACAGCTTCTAAGAATCTGTTGCTTCGCATTATTAGCGATGTCGATGACTTTGACTAACACAGGTGACAGCCTGCAGATCCAGAGCTGAGCCTGACGCTTCCTCAGCTTTAAGATGCTATGAATCCCATGTGGACATCTAATCACAGACCTGGAGGCAGCTGAACTGATTGACCAGTTATCAGTTCGCGGCAGTCCCTAGCGAACATCCACTGATTTTGGTCCTGAGGTCCTGATTAACCAGAACACTACCTTAAATTTTCTAGAGAATGGCGCAGCCTCCATCTCCAGAGGGTCTTCAGCCCATCACTGTCTGCCGCAGAAGCGGGGTTTGTGTGCTCGTGACCAGCAACAATGCGCTGTGAGCAGTCAGTAAATCGAAGAAGTGAACGAACGGTTAACGAATGACGTTTGAGTGCGTTGTGTCACCACAAGAAGCGACATTTGCAGATTGTATTGTGACTCGTATATTCGAGAAGTGGCCTGCGATGTCCACTGACCTCAGATAAAGTTAACAGACCGATGTGAGGTGAAGAATCAGGGAGCGGAGACTCATGGCTAAGCTTTCGAGGATGTCGCGCAGCGGACAGTGTTTCCCATGAAGATCTAAATGGGGTGCCACAATATGACCTGCTGTCCTAAACACGTCCTTTCTACCTCAGACAGATCGCAACTGTGGTCTAATTGGTGTTGATTAGGAAACGGAGAAGCTAATTGACACGTGTAGGAAACTATCAAAACTGGGTACCGAAATGAAAACAGGCCGATTGTCGTGGAGAGTTACAAGAAGCCTTCTTCACTGTCACTGCGACTGATGAGTGATAAATGGAGTGATGACCAACTACGGTAATCTCATCCATCCAAAGTCTTCCAGCTTGGGCCTTCTTACCCGCAACTAAAACCACAATATCGGTACTGCAAGCATTGCAGGTAAGCTAACTTCAAGGAACTCAGAACTCACCGTTCACATAATGTCGATTGGTCGAGACGATGACTTTTGGGAAATTTGAAACATTAGGTCACCTTAGTCAATTGCACCCCATTTCTGTGACGCCAACTCTTGACCGACTGCAGTCCGTTCACCGCAAAACAACGACTGAACGAACCACATTCGCTCAAATGGAGAATGAATACATCCGATACAATTTACAGTGCGAGTGGGTAAACTAGAGGCACTGATTTAGGTCATCCGCCTAGTCTACAGCTGACCCCACCATGACATTTACCGTTAGACCTCACGTGAAGTACAATGTTATAGCACTGTTGCCATAACTTTTATCTGAGTGTAGAATGTTCTAGATTTGAGACCGATGAAAGTTATCTGTCTTCCGAATATTTGACGAGATCATCATCATGAGAAGCCTTGTTTGAACTAAGACGTCTAACAGCACCACGCACACTCGAATACTGCGCCCATAAGCAACCGAGTAAAAGCTAAGGACATCATATCAGAAGGTTGAAATTCAGTGCTGGCCGTGGTCCCGATGTCAGTGAAAGTTTAGCGTCTAGTTGATATGATGTAGTACAATGTTTGTTCGGTGAAAATCGAGCTTATTGAAGCCATTGCTCTGCGGGTCCAACGAGAAGTACTGGGAGATTTGATGGAACAGGGACAACCTGAAAGGAAGCAGCTGATGACAACGGTAAAGTGAGTAAGAAAAAACTACTATCCGGATTCGACATCCACTCGGTGAAAGTTTTTCAGGTCAACAAGATCAGTTTGAGATAATGGTCTACGCTTCGGCATACAACTCTGGTAGTCTAACTTTTTTTGGATGTTCCACTCACACGCATGCAGTAGGAATGATTGACTGGAATACTGAAACACCAATTTTTTAAAAAAGCATAGGAAAATGATCAAAACAGAAATCAATTGTCTCAGTCCCTAAGGGGAAAGGCTGGAGGTTAGCATAGAACAGATGGTATTTGGGTATGCCTTCGAATTCGGGTAAACCGTGACGACCGTTGCAACCAACACAACTGAAGTGTATTCCCAACAGACACAAAAACAAGTAGTTGTGCAACCTGTGCTGTTCCAAAGCAATAGGTAGAACGGAAAAAACTTTCCAAAGTGCTAGCCCACGCAATTCCACCATGCATCAGCAACACAACACCTGCAATAAATAAGAGGGATTATCAACAGGCTGGTTCGAGGAACAGCATAATCACGGCTCCCACAATAACAATAACAACAGCATGAACGGCCCCAGATTTTGTGCCATTTCCAATGCAAACATGCATACAATAACGGGTTCCCATGTGCACCAGCACTCAGACATGTTTGGTGCGTGCGGTGCCACCAGACGAATTGAACAAATGAGGAGCAGGAGTGGGTGCCGCGGCGCATGCCCATCTGTCAATTCACACAGAGAAATGTGCATCAGTGAAAAAACAAATACGCAAAAAGCACCAAGCGAGCCCATATTGAAGTGGATCGATCATGCGTGCAGAATGGGAAATAAAACACAAATAAATGCCGTTTTATGTGTGTGGATTACGTTCCCTGTTACAGTCTAAATGCAAGAGACGAGGGAAACGTCGAGAAGCCAGTAGTAGATGGAATGGTTGGAATGGTGCGAAGACACGACGCCATCAGAAACATTAACCTGGAATCTTGGTTAGACAGAGGCCCAGAGGTACACCCGAACAGCGGATCCGGAAAATGATGATGCGACCGAGTGGAGGAATCGTCAATTAGAGAAAAAGTATACGACAAACGGTCACATCGTGCGAGTAATAGCAGAGAAAGATTACTTCTGTTCAGAAAAACTGCCTAAATAACACCAGTTCGGTCCTGTGTGTACAAAACGGTTGCACTGCAGGCTGCAAGCAAAGTCACCGATAACCGTCACAACATAATGACCAATCGCGATTACTCACATGCCCTTTATGCACGGGAAGCGGATAGACGTTGCCGGTGAGGGAACTGGGGTGAAAGTCCACACCAGCTCTGACTGGGTCATCGACGCTGGTTGGGTTCATCTCGATCAGACAGGCAAAAGCGGTGTCAGGCTCGGCAGACGAACGGTTCGGTCGAGGCTTTCTGTTCGAATCTGCTGTTCCGAGAGTGAAATGTGGCTCATTCCAATAGGGTGTACCACATACTCCGTCTGACGTAGTTCTTTTATTAGGCATGAGGTGGGGTGGTCGTGTCCGAAGCTAAGAAAAGAATAAGATGCATTGAGAATAACTAAATGGACCCGAATCAAAATAAATTATCGGACGCTTGCTGGTAGAGCAAGAATTTATTCATAAAAGCCTTCACCCAAATACCGATCGTTGGGAATTATCAAGATGAAGTTTGGTTAACGATACACACTCATGCTTCCCGTTTAAAACAATGGAATCGCTACCTAGTCTACAACTCAGTCCCTGGTGAAGAGGAAGTGTATTGATAGCGTAATTTTTTAGAAAGGACAAGGTATCCGGTTCAGGTTCCCGTTTGAGGGATATGGAGGATTACAAGTGCGTATCAGTGTGTGATTATTAATGCCGTACTCCCCTCCCACAAAACACGACACCACCGAGGGTATTTTTTCATCCCAAAAGAGCTCCTAAGGCAAGTTCCAGTTCGATAAACAGGGAAAAACATACAGCCTTTGCGCTCGATTTAGATTTACAAGTTGCCCGAAACGGTCAATCTCACAGACTCCACTGCTGGATTGGCTCCAGAAGACTAGACTATTTAGCTCTACCGATTAAGCATACGGTACATGATACTTGTAATACTGTTCTACGTGGGCAGATTACATATATGTATCGAATACTCCATCGCCATAGTCCTTAGGGTTATAACAGAATTGCTAGATTGAAATCTAAGTGATCATTTGTAACAGTGCGGACGGCAGGAGCTAATAAGCATCATGAAGATCCATCAAGCAGTAGTGCGTAAAATGGAAATTAGTGTGCGAGCGACGACCCAAGAAACACATGGCTTTTGTTTGGGGATATTACTCTTGTCCTTGCGCAGCCAACTGAAAAATGCAAGGCCGCGAAAAGGTTGTGGTGAAAGCGGGTAGAAAGTCAGAGGAGTCACTGGATCCACAATAACTCCATTCCGCTCAGTCCATCAGGTGTGGCATTCCTCTAGTCATCCTACACTCTATTTAGATCCGCACAGCAGCAAGGTTCTAGGAAAGTCGATGAACGAACGTTATACGTACGCCAAGTCAGTAACATTGGAAACTGACCAGAAGTCAAGTTTCCTCTTGTGGATGACATTCGTCATTTGACCTATAAGCTCGAGATAGCTCCGTGGCTAAGGCGCAGCTTACTGACCGTAAGGTCCACGGTTCGAACCCAGCGTCAGCGTCCCAACTGCTCCTGTATATGCTTTGGTGACTTGGCAGTATCCCATCCCTCGTGCTCCACTCCGTTGGCATGGCAGATAAGCACCGAAGCGACCATAATTATTAGTATCATTATTTGGCAGTATCCCCTCGTGCTCCACTCCGTTGGCATGGCAGATAAGCACCGAAGCGACCATAATTATTAGTATCATTATTATTATTATTGATCTATGCGGTATTCTGTAGAGATTCAAATTGTCAGCCTATAATGCACCACGCCCTCAGGTCACCACCTCCAGAGCCCCATTACTCCATGTGCAAAAGCTATCAGGGCATGAGTAACACGGACGCGCCATCAGGACAAATTAGCTGTGATAGAAGTGATTGAAGTGATTTAGGAGTGCTTCGTCTTTGGAGCACTGTGCTACCACCCTAATTTCACTTCCCATGAAACAGAATCCAATACCTGTACGAACAAGTACGGAAATTTCCTCCTTGAATTCACCGATCGTCTCTGACATGTTATTTCCCAAACTGAAATCAAGAGAAGCTAATAAAAACATCGATTTTTTCTGGTGCACACTTATTACAAGAGACCACATTGAGGAGGAAGCACCGGGTGGGCAATCGAGAATGTAACGGTAAAGGATTGAACACTTAATTATACACCGTCTGACAGGGTCAGCAACTGAATACTCTTATCAATAAAGTGAAACGATGGATATCCTCATAAACACTTGTTCGTCACTAAAGTTTAATCGATGGCCGGAAAAGCAAACCATCGAAGCGAGAGTTTGGCACAAACATCGGTGCACCAAGTGATGGTTGATAAAAATAACGAACCATAGGGAATAACAAGCGACGATCACCAAGGGTAACAATAATATTATGGTACATCTGGTACAAAGTACCAAATCGCTAAAACGCCTCTGAGGTCAGACTAGCGGCAAAGACGAACAAAAATAAACCAAGGCACTTGATGCTCTGAATTACTTTCATCAGAGCATTCTGTGTATGGGGAACCATCACTACCGAAGAGTGCTGAAGTTACCAACACTCGAACGACCCTAAGAAAGGATTTGACAAGCAAAGACGAGCCTGTGGTGGTTGAAGCCTTTATAGAATGTACACATATAAATGATCTAAAAGTGATGGGTAATCAAGTAGTAGATATAATCGTTGAGTAGTATTAATGGCGAGAGGTTGTCAGGATTGTTCATCAGGCGAACACCTTCTACATCACCCCATTAAGCTCGAGACTTGTAAACACCGAACCGACAGTTTTACTGCCGGACACGTCTGGTTATCGACTTATGTTGTCCCCTTTTTGTAGCGAAAATGGATGGAGTACTAGTAAAGAGTAAAGTTGGACGAAATACGATCATTTTCAAATTATGTTGGGATTAACGAGTCACTCGTTAGTAATAGTCTTCAACTAAATGTGACACACACAGGCTGTCTCATGTTTCAGTTCAGCTTAGTTTCAAAAATTCGTGATCCCGTAGTATACCTTATTGACGAAGCATTACCCTCAGGGTTCCTCAAGAGTTTCAAGCAATTTCATGTGTTCTGTCAAGGAAAACTGGAGAGATAGTTCTCAAAAGTAAATATTCAATATTCAACAGCCGTTGTGGAAGTTGGCCGAATGGAGACAAAACACTTTGTCGTGCTGTAGTGTACTGAACGGAAGAGGAACTATGGCTCGTGTCAACGAACGGGCAAGATAGGTTACAAGTTGCTAACTCCTAGTGGACTGAATGACGAAGGAGTCCAAATCAGGTGCGTTTATCTCATGGTTGTTATAGGTATGGTCAAACAACAGTGGAGGGAGATAAACCAAGAGTTCTTCTACTTCCCAAGTTTGACCAACTAACGGATCAACAAGAATATGGCGAAGATAATCGCGCGGTACAGTGTGCAGACCACTCAATATGGCTTCGTCAGCTATGTTCGAATCGACGGTTGTAAGATGAATGAGTGTGAGTGTTGGATGCACCTGCGTGACTTTCACGAGTCAATTTCCGAAGTGACAGGAAGGCCTCAAGGCAACAGCCACAGGTCACGTTGAAGGCGTCTTTGGCGGGACGAATTCGGGACGTGTGACAGCGACACCCAATTAACTTGAATTTAAACTCTAGTGATATTGTAAAAGTGGAGATATTATCAAAGTACGGTGATGGGCATGTTAGGCCAGCTGCTTCACGCACACTTAAAAATAACGTAGATTCAGTGATGGAACCAAGTGGTCTATGGTTGCACCGGCGACCTACGTGGTTATACCCACGCGAATCGAATAGCTTTATTCATATGTAGGTGTGCGCATATGACTCATAAGCTAGTGCCACTTCATTGGGTATATGGCCTAGTTGTGTGAAGTATTGGAAAGAAAACGTCTGTAACGACAGGCAGACAAGTGGTAGCGTCCGGGTAAGGGTAAGGTTCCATAGTGCACAAACGCAGACAAGAAATTTCGAAATTTGACACAAAAGCCAAGAAAAAAAAACCTGAAGACGAGACCAATTCGTAAGCATGGATTTCTGCTGCTTATTCCAATAGGTGGTTGTATGTGAGAGCTGACGAATCGTCACCCCAGCACAGCGTATATTCTGGACATCGAATCGGCAAATCAGGATACTGGATCAACCAGTACTTATGAAAGAGAGCAAGACGTTGAATGCCGCAAATAGTTCGTTTGCGACAATAGATAAACGTGACCAGCTCGGAGAAGAAATTGCTATGTTGTGATTGGAAAATCTGTGAATGGAAAGTAAGTGTTGCAATGAAGCCTCCAATCCGTAATACGGTATTCACGCTAATCTGAGCTTTCCGTTGAAACGCCGGCCACTTTGGTGGGTGTGCCACGAGACATACTGAATAGAGTAGTGGCCTAATGATACAGACTTCAGGATACCAGCAACAAGAAAAGTAATATACTAATGTATATGTAGTGATACATATATATATATATATACATAATAACAGCTGTTCAGGTGTAACATCCTTTCCATGCCTAGCTGTCTGGTCAAGTAGTATGAGGGCTGAGATACTACCAAGGTACCAAAGCCCAGACGGATGAAGAGGTTGGGTTCGAACCACGGATCTCGCCCCTTAACCACTTAGTTAGATCTGGGCTCAGCAGCAAACATCTCTGACTGGGAAATAATTTAATTTTGAGTTCCAATGCAAAAGTGAAAGAAATAACACATGAATGGCAACTCTGACAATGGCAATCGCTCATATATTTCCTATGAAGAAAAATTAAGGCAGCAAACACGAGTATCCGACGCAACAGCAGAGTCGGTGGTCTTCAAACGAATGTAGCTCAGTACTAGCAATGAACAAAGCAACATCAGTGATGAAACTGGCATCTCACTGACACAGGAGTCTGATTCCGAAATGTTCTACGGTAGAGAACAAAGATTGATGATTGAAAGAAACCCAATGAAGTTCAAAGCAAGCAGTCCAGAAACTCAGTCAAGTATCGCCGATCAAAAGTGAAACCAAAGGCACAAATGACGCTGGTTCACAGTTACGTTTCGCTCCACCTCCGATCAGGTTCGACAACCAAATCAAGCATGGTAAGAGCTCCCAGTGGCAAATGCCGAAAACGAACAGGTTTCAACTGTGTCGACAGCGGGTGAAAGAACGCCGTTAGGCTTATCTTTCGAGATCGTTCACTGGTCAACTGTGGAAAGCTGGTTGCACTTTCCTGAAGACGAGTTGCAGGTTTTGCTTGACCAATGTGTCCAGAGTGCAATATGCTGCTGCCAATACGGTTATTGCTTGTGTCAACAAGTCAGGAATACAAGCCACAGCAGTTCCTGATGTATGCTTGCACACCTGTGCACAGCTGTGCACAGCGTAACCAGAGCTGACAGATTACACCAGCAAGTGCAATAACAGTATTAAAAACCGTTATAAGCGGCCAGTTAAGTAAAGGGGAAGATGATTCCGTGACAGGTGCACAGAACCGAGATAGGAGGAGGTGCAAAGAATAGGCACCATACTAAAGTGCCATCAGGGAGTAATCAAATTGAACAGCGCTTTTTTTCTTTAGCTGGTTTTGATCCTATCAGAGTAATTCACTAGAACGAACAAGGCGAGTTTGGTAGAATATCCTAAACATTCCGAAATCGCCGAATATCTTAGGACTCCCAATCTTTCTGATGAAGGTGGGAGGAGAAAGCTCACGGCATTCTACTTCACCCCACTCATCAGTATTTGTTGATGTCAGGGATATTTTCTGGTGTTCTTCCACTTATGGTCTTTTAAACAAGCTTGGTTACATTATTAATTCTGTAGCATGAAGTTATGTACACGTATAGTAGATACAACACTCCGCACGAGAGACTCCATTTAACAAGATGAGCTACAGTGACTAGAGCGCGAAATTACTGACCGAATGCTCCATGATTCGAACCCGACCTCTGCCTCTCGACTTACCCTGTCTAGGCCAGATTACCCTGGCAATATCCCAGTTCTCGTGCTTCCTTCGGTGGCAGGGCAACTAGGTACCGAAAGGACGGTACAGTTGAACGATTATATTCTTCTTTTTACAGTACAATGAAAGAAAACCGGCATCACGAATCGGATAATCCCTTACTTTTAGCTTGTATAACAGGTAAAATCACAAAACAGGAAAGAATAGCTGAGAATGCGACTGTAGGATGGTTAACTGAGAGTGTACTGTGTAGAAGAATACAAGAAAATATGAGCAATAGCGAAACGAGGGTGAGTAATGATATGGAGAGTAGCTGAGTAGACGCTGAGTTAACAGTCAGTTGGAAAACAATCGAACTAGAACTCTGCTGCACCAAATGTCCTGTGGCTGTTTCAATGCAGCACATTTGAACAGCAGACACTGATCAATGAGAGCTCATGTTTCACATTATGTGCCGTGTGCCGTGGTTTGCGGATACACAACACAGGCAAGGTGCGGCATCATTACAAGACAAATGTCCACGCTAAAACAGTGCTACGTTTGGTAGATGTAATTTAGTCTGGTTTTGCGGACACAGCCACCGTCAAGAATCAGATGCTTAAACCAAAATAACAGACCGAGACCAGTGTATGCACACTTGAATAGGCATGTGGACCACGCAACAACAGAGAATAAGGAGACAATGGCCCCACACCGACTCATGGAGTTCGTAGTACAAGTAAAATACTTTGTACACTACTCTTCCCCTCGCTGTCGCACCACACTATGAATATTGTCTCTGCAGATAGATTGCGATTTTCAATTTCTATGCTTTATTGTGTACGTTGCCTCCAAGAACCCATTCCCTTCTAATCGAAAAACAAGATTTTTATCACGATTTACACTGTTCGAGTAATCAGGATCAATCAACGTCTACAGCACAGTACAGACAAGACGGTAGAAGGACAAATTTAATGAAAGCGTGAGCAAACGAGGACAACCATCAACCTATGCACTGGTGCGTCCCTTGATATGGCTGGAGAGGACAAACTTTTGCGGTAAAACAATGGATTGACTCATTTCTGATTGCAAGATGATAGCATAGCTGTGGGGTTGCCAGGAGCGTTGTTACAGAGGAATTACTGTAGTTTGAAAAAATCACCAACCCTGCTGATTCCATTCCAATTGCCTTCCCACATACATCACAGCGGTGGGTTTAACTGGTTAAATCCAGCTTTATGGTTCAGAAACTGTGTCTGCGTTATTGTACGTTTGGCCGTTCTAAAAGGTGGACAGAATGGTTTTGGCTATGGTTGAAGGAAGTTCGGTGGCATGACAGAGAGAGTGCCATCACATTAGCGTGAACGTGGTTCATTAATAATGTTGAACAACCGTATGATCTAATAACACAAATCAACCTTGGGTTCGGATGTACTGACATCTGGAACGTGACGTAGCCCTCCGGCCGAGTCGAACGGGTCCACGGAAAATGAAAGTTCGCCCTTGGGAATCAAATCCGCAAGCCCTTCTGTAAATCGAAGATATGTCCGATACGACCCATTTGCTCAGGAGACGTAATTCAGAGGGAGCAAGGTACGGAAGCTCAATGAGGTGTAGATAACTTGAAATAGAAGAAAACGCTGCAGATCGTTTTCATTTCCGGATACGAAACAAAGCGAGGTTAGGCTATGGAAGAATCTACCCTCCGTGTTCGGATGCTGAGTTAAGTTAAATGTGCCAGTAATGTCCCAAGCAATAACCGATCCGGTTGGTATGGGATGCGTAGAGTAACCACCCAAAATTGAGGATGACAAAGAGCATTTTAAAGAGATACAAACACACCTCAAACGTAACGACGGATCCAGGCTCGTGGGCAGAGGCAAACAGAAGGCTCAGTGGGCAGTCCGTGTCGGTCAATATCTCTTCCGTGCCACGAAGCCCGTTCGTTGTATCTGTTGCTGATCGAACGCGCATTAGAAGACAGTAGGTGTCCGGATCAGCGTCTTCTAGCCCATATTTGTCCAAACACTGGCGAATCACGGTTGCCACTGTATCGTTTACAGACAGCAGCAATGTGCGGTACGGAACTTGGGGACAAATCTGGTCACCGTAGATCTTCAGCGTTCCACCTGAACCAAAAAAGGGATAAATTTTATCTTTTCTGACATAAAGAAAAGACAATGACGCCAGATACCTTATTGATAATAGAGAAAACTTGAACGTAGTGAAGGGAATTTAAATTATGCGCTTCCGTCCTTGACGGAATTTAGGGCAGCGACTCTTAATTTACTAAAGGGCTGCGATTTCTCACTGCCAAGAAAGCAGAGTTTTTGGGATGCCGGTTTTGTTGTACGTCTAGCTGTCGAGTTCTTCATGCACATTCACTATTAGTTTCCCTAAATTGATCACTGCTTCTTGAAAAAAATAGGAGCTCCAAACACGAAAGCGGGAATTCCTACTGACTGTTAGGCAGTCAGCTCGTGGTTGTCATACTTCCATTAGTCGGCCACGATCCTGCATAATGAACAGATTTTTTAAACGTAACACAGAGGTTTGGAACACACTCCCTAGAGCACCAACCGTATAGGCCAACAATGGTAAAGCTGAGAAACACCGCGGATTTGAATCCCACCATAAGCTGGACCACTGGTAAGGTGATGTACGAGCGAGAAATCACCCGGTGCAACATAAATTATTCTGGAACATTCAAGGAAATCCGAGGATTTATTCCCTTAGTAATAAAGAAGTCACATTCCTAAAAAATGGATGCTGGCTGAACCCGATTTGAATAGTATGGACTGGATTAGGGTTGCAATCTATGGTAGCCAATCCATGTGGTTTGGTGATTAACAGTACATCCTGTACAGTTAAAATGTCTGTCTGGAGTTCCTGAGTCAGAACCATGGTCGTTCTAGTAACGTATGCGAACGCCTGGCTATTTGAATTTTCAGCTGATCAAATCAACGAGGCCTCAGTGTAAAATAAACACCGCTAAACTGGTAGTCTGTAGGACCTCACCCACTTTATTACCTCTTCGTATTTCGGTAACTGCTTTCTGAGGCGAGATGGCTCAAACGATTTCAGCGCAAATTTACTGACCAGAAGGTCCATGGTTCGAACCCGACCTCTGCCTCTCGACTTCAGTGCTTTCCCGCATCTGGACACCTTTCAAACTGACAACCCGAAATCCCTCTTGTACTAAAAAGTAGTTCTCCCTCTTCAGCTTTGCAGAATATCAAATTTAGTCCACATCGACCGAAATGTGTTAAGGCACTAAACATTCACCCGTCATTGAGAGAAGCAAATCCTAACTGTTCGAAAAAATGTTGAATTATCCACTTTTCTAAACCCATCCGTATGCGACTGCGTCTTGTTCGAACCCACCTCTGCCTCTCGACTTCAGTGCTTTCCCGCATCTGGACACCTTTCAAACTGACAACCCGAAATCCCTCTTGTACTAAAAAGTAGTTCTCCCTCTTCAGCTTTGCAGAATATCAAATTTAGTCCACATCGACCGAAATGTGTTAAGGCACTAAACATTCACCCGTCATTGAGAGAAGCAAATCCTAACTGTTCGAAAAAATGTTGAATTATCCACTTTTCTAAACCCATCCGTATGCGACTGCGTCTTTCAAGCAAGCGTTCGCATGTCGAATATCCGTACGCCACAAATGACCCAAGACACATTCAAAACCCAACAATGTCAGTCGGATATCTGTTTCAAAAGCGATTTGAGAAGTCCACGACGTGGGAACAAGTTAGCACCCAGATTCCAAACGCGATCTCAAGCAGGTATGCTGACGTAACGGATAACGAATGTCCTGTCCACGAGTTCGTACACCGTATCAAAAAGATGCGGAGCTACCAAACAGCCTCTACAGTCAAGCAACTTACCTAGGTCGGGTTCCCCATGCTGTAGAAGCTGTAGTAATTTGGCCTCGAGCGTCCTTTGCCGCTTTCGCTGCATCATTTTTTCTGGATTGTTTATGGTGCGCGTAAAAGTGGAATCTGGCAGTGGTGAGTCGGAAGAAAGGATGGAGTGTTTCGATGTAGGTCCAGTGGCTTGGTGCCGGATCAAACAGTTGAGGCTTGATTCTGGAAGGGATCCACGTGGTCTATTGCCTGGTTTCTCCTTTGACCAACCAACAGCTGCAGCGCATCCCAACGGACCACGCCTGGACGACGGTGATGCGTGTTTGTCTCGTCGAAACGACCATCCACGCCGAAACCGTCCATCACTTATGTTGACCGGATCAGAAGCACATGGAGTATTAGCCATCACGGAATGTGTTCTGGTTGCACCATTTTCAGTCTAAAATGAAACAGAGGACAGCTGTAGCAACACCGGGGGTCACAGTGTGGTAGCTAGACCTTTCCTTCAAGTTTATCAGCCAGCACACAAGATTCACGTTGCAGAAAAAGTCAAATCGCGAAGATTGTTTTCTTCGATGCTCATCAGGTGTAAGTTTCTTATAGGGAGGGAATGCCGTGTGCGAATTAAAAAATTAAAGGCCACCTAGTTTTTTCTCTACTGAACGGATGAAGAACTGTGTAACAAAGAAAATAATGGTACGGACTGGTAGCGCGACACTTATTGAGTTCTCGGGTGTTGTTTCATCCGGCGCCGCAGTTTCATCAGTTTTGGTAGACAAAAGGACTCCCTTGAAATAAACTGATGTGTTTCTACAGAGATGGATCATTGGTGTTTCAACACTGAACACAGCTGTAAAAGACTATGATGATATACTGCAACTGTGCGCGTGCCCTCCGCTAGATATCGACCAAACCAAGTCAGTTTCACTCAATAGGATTTGGATGGTATAGTGTCAGTCAGACAGTAAATCGCGGTAACGGCGTGTAAAATTTTCAATGCACTTTATTTTTAGTGTAAGCCAATCAATTTGTGAACCAAACAGTGCCTATTTCTCGGCTCTCGGTGGTTCCGTTTGTCCGCGTGGATCGAATGGAAGAGTCCGATGCTGTGGAAATTGTCGGCTTGTGGGCTGACTAGACAACTTCGCAGGAGAGAGGTCCCCACAAGGGGCTTTTCGTGAAGACCATTTGTTACATCCTCAGCCAACAAAAACATACTGTCAATGAAACAAGCTATTCCGCATTAAACCCATTTCATCGTAAGCTAACCACACCACCGCAATCACTAAGAAGAATATAGGACTCTGAATTCTTACGACCAGAAAGGAATGCTACGATGTAATAAATTTTGTCAATTCGGTTAAGAGGCTAATCCTTAGGGATCTGCTCCCTTACAAGCTCAAAACAACTATTGCTTTGACTAATCGTTCCGGAACACGTGAGATGGTTACTTTACAGGTTGATAGCAATGGTAATGAATAAAGATACTTTTGTCTTTGTCGTTATACTTCAAGCTAATATTCAAACAAAATGAGGACTACTCCAACAGGACCATAGTTTTACTCCCTTCGTTGATACAAGTATGGCGACCCAAGTTGGACCATCTCCACACTGACACAATAGCGCACCATTTTACTACGGAGCACGCTGCACATCATAACCACTTGGTGGCAACCTGTTTATTCCATTAAGCCCAGCTTTTAACAAGCTGACAAATTTCCCACATCCGTTCATCTCCAGGACACTGGTTAGGCATGCGTCATCGTTTTCTGTTTATCTGGCCTGGCCCCAACTTTGCTAGTAGAAGTGCTTAAAACGATGGAAAACTTGCGACACGATTCTCTTTCACAAACGATTTTGTTGTGACAGAAGAACCAGCACCCAGAGGACGCAATACGGGCGGTGAAAGCCAAATAAAACGTTGCAGTGAGGCCTTCTCGTTGAACCGAATCAGCGTGTTATCGTACAGCTGTAGCACCCTTTCGGTGCCTAACTGCCATGCCACCCGAAGGAAGCACGAGGGCTGGGATACTGCCAGGTTGCCCAAGCCTAGGCAAAGGAATTCGAGAGGCAGGGGTCGGGTTCGAACCAAGGACCTTTCGATCAGTAAATTCGCGCTCTAACCACTTGGGCCATCTCGCCCCCCCCCCCACCCACGTGTTATAGTGGGATTTCTAGAGATTGTTTCCACAGCAAAAACCTCATGAAGACTTCATTGACAAAAACATAACAGCCGTTTGTATGGAGGAGTCCTCAGACGCGGTTATCCCTATTCTCTCTACGGTTTGGGTTCCACGACGAACCCTGACTGACTGCAAAGGATCAGTGGTAAAATGTGGAATAGTAAAATCAGCATAGTCTTTTCCTGTCTTTCAGGGATGGTATTTGCGAGGTAAGAAACAAATGCCCCCTATGGGGAATGGCTTATCTAGTAAGACTTACTGGAAGGGACATTAAAACCGTAGGATGAGTGTCACCAGTGATATCGCATGCAACCAGGCGGCGTAAAAAAAAGTGACGAACTAGTACATAGATTAAACAGAACAAAGTAATGGAAGGGCTCCGTAAGGAAATCTGTAACCCCTATGGAGACTATCTTTAAAATATATCAGCTTCAGCTGCATCGAGTTCATCCCCACAAGAGGGTGACATGTGTTTTGATAAGGTGCACCCATTCGAAAAGAGATTTGGTTTCAACTGAATGCGCTGCCACCTCATGCTTCATATTCGACATATCCCGTTATATAGTCCTAAAACAACACTACATCGAAAGTCTCTAAAGAACGTTGCTATCGAAAAGTTTCCAGCAAACTTCAAGATGTCGACTCATCATTAAAGTCGGGTTAATTAGTGCAAAATACCTGCGGCAGTTGATCATCATCATCATCATCATTTAACTCCACCATGTCTACACAGTCGCACATGTCGCAGCTACAAATATGTAGGAGAACTATACGTACACTCCGGATGAAATAAAACATCTAAGTTGGTTAACAAAATGGTTTCGCTTGTTGAATTCTGTTGTTTATCGACTGAACAATTTGTTGATTAGCGGCTGTCCATACATTAAAGCCAGAAAACCTGCCAGCCAGCTTACGCTTGTGAATCACACCTGACAGTTCAACGTCGGAACGGACAAACCAGTTCGGTTGCTAGTTAACATATGTGAACGAACCGGTAGTCGAAAACACGCTGCATGCATGTAAACAACGGTTAAGTTTGTGCTACCGCAGACGTTCACATGTGCGACAGCCAGAAACAACCGTTCAAGGGAAGTGAACGTCGTCTGAATGGATAAGCGGTGACAAGTTTGTGGCAGCGACCGCAGTATTAATTGGGTTCCTTCCAGTATTCTGGATACGCACTACGTTTAACAACCCCGGTACGAGTTGCCCATACACTGCTTCTACTTGTGAAAACTGATTTAGTGGGGTTTTCGGGATGGAAAATGGCAGCAACGCCTCAACATAATCTCGAAACCTTCAAAACAATTGATTAGCTCGGAGAGGAAAATATCCAGATAAGCATGGTAAACATCAAGTTTGGAATGGGTCATTCTAGGTGTAAGGGGACGTCTAACCACGTGGCATACGCTTGCATTGCTTAAAATGAGTCGGGCTGCCCTCTGTGCAGGTCAGCAACAGCTGATCGGGTAAATCGGGATCGGATATGGAGTTTTCGATTCCTCATGAGTACACGCGCACCCAGATATCGTTTGGTTGACTGAGAGGCTGAAACCAAAACGTTGTCAACCTTAGTCCCACAACCAGTAGACCTGGTTGAAAAACGAAAGATAAAGTTTGATAACAACTACAGACACGCGTATCAGCAATTGCTCACTTCCGTGGCAACTTCGTATACACCTCCAGGTCCGTAATCCTTTCCATGATACCTTTCCACGCATAAAAAAAACAGATCCAACTGCATTTCCGCTGACTGACATACACTTTTCTCGCACCATTGTACTAAAGTGCGACAAAAATCACTCGAATGTGACATTGTGACTGTTTCAGGCTAGACAATCTTGTCGTGTAGTTTAGGTAGGAGGTATTCGGTACACTAAATGTATCAGTTTCGATCGTCCCGGCGGAACTGCCTTATTGCCAGACCAAAGCCCGCAAAAAATCACACCAAAACAAAACCGATGCATTGCGAACAAACATGGCGTGAAAGAAACCAGAAACAGCATGAGTGCACTGGTGCATTACTGCCATATAATGTAAATCTATCAAGGTAGAACAATATAACAAGGAGAAAAACAGAAAGCAAGGGAAGGAACACAGTGTTTGCCTACCACAAAAATTTTAGGTACCTGCAACCTCAGACAACCCATTTTTACACTGACGGCACAAACGCAGTCATTGACTGCATCGTCCGAAACCTACCACAGCAGCGCCGATAATATCAAGGCCTTCCGAAATCACCTTCATTCCCTTCTGCCGCTTTAATTGGTACCCACCTTGTGGTTTGTAATGATCTGAGTTCGGCGTGGAAGATAAGATTTTTCCTGGTAGGCAAACGTGGTGCAACACTTTAGCTTGCAGTGCGGTGGGCATCCCGCAAGCGAAATACTTGTTGCATTCCCCAATTATCTCGTTGCAAAATTACATGTGCAAGATGGATAGACATCTGCCAGTGTGTTTTACGAAAAACGCTTTCCGCTGGTCGTCTCATATAACAACAGTATAGTCAGAAAACGCCAAACTGATAAGGATTTCACTACCTGGGTTGCTCACCGAAGTTTTTTTATCCTTAATATTCCACTAATGACGAAAACAAACACGAAAGTGGAATAGAACTCCTGAGAAACCATACTCTCAAACGACCAAGCGCGTATGAATAAAAGCAAGAAAATTGTTCCAATTTTTCCAAGCTGTCCTCAACTAAACAAACGCAGCTGAAAAACCAATTGATCGACTGGACTGGAATCTCCGATGAAATCGAGCAACACCATATAGCGGGCAACCTGCACGCAACCTGCACCTCAACGTTTGACAGAGTGAAAATATGATCGGAATACGTCCGCTGTGAAAGGGGCGGATGGCCAGCTGCTTGCTCTCATTCGGCAACTCGTTGAATCGAAAAGCTAGAAGTGAGGACTGTACCAATCCTTTAGCATACGTCCAGATGTAGCCCAAATATTCACGCCCTCATATAGTCGAAAACCAGAGGCTTCAATTCAAATTAATGAAGGCAACCCTCCGTAAATGCGGAATGTAGGTTTGTCCAGCGGTGATTCTTATGCCTTATTTTCTGTCCTGTGTCAACGAAAAACCAGTTTTTCGGCTGGTTACAAGGAACTGTGCAAGATCGATCCGTGACAATAGTGCACCTTCTGTAGATATCACTATGTTCCATGTCCACGACGTGCATTCCAGGGATCCTGAGTTGATTGATGCACAAAGTGATCAAATTCGACCAACGGACTTGGAGAAAACA